TGATTAACAGATCTAATAAATGAGAAAAATTGTTTTCTACAATGAAATTTTGCGAGTAATAATACTGTATCTGAATTTTTCCCAGTTATTCCGAAAATCATTTAAAAAATTTAAAAAAACAATTTTAAAAAAACTGAAAGGTATTGAAATGTATGATTCGCTGCGTAATGTTTAGGAAACTAAATATTCTTATGTAAAATTACAGAATCAGTCACTGAATTTGCCTACAGTGATGATTTAAAAAAAAAAAACTATGAAAATACTGTTTTTTTTACAAGTCGACTATTCCAAAAAATTATTGACGCGATTCACTATTAATTTGAATCTCAGATTGCATCACATTATTGCTGAAAAAAAAGTGGCTATTCTGAAACCATGCACTTAAATTTTTCACAGTTAACAGCGCCATCTGTACCTGTTTGTCGTTTTAGTTATCTAGATAGAAGGAAAAATATGTTTGTCCCAGTTAAAAAAAGGAAAACGTTAAAATGTTAATTAATGCATACTTTAATTAAAATAGATAACATTGAAAATTAAAATAGATATGAATATTAAAGTGTGAAAAAGCGTATAGTTTTGAATAATAAATTAAGAAACAGATTTAGATAAAGGAATACGTTTTCGACGTTGACAATGCCATCTACTGACGAACTTTGTAACTAAATCTAAAATTTAGAGAGGATAATACTGTTGTTTCTGAAACAAAACACATCCTCTGTCATTCTTCAGATACTTTATATTGTAGTGGTTGGTTGTGTTCAGGAGATGAGTTTGAGTGTTTGGAGACGATTGTGTTTGGAGACGATTGAGTTTACATTTTAATTAGTATTTATTTTACATTTAAGTATAAAAAGGGAAAATATGAAATTAGAGCAGCGCGTTCATTCTACAATGGCGGTTAGGATTCTTCTGGTGAATGACAGAGACAGTTACTGATCGTAACTGTCGCTGTTATGATTAAGTTAAGTTCAGTCGCTGCAATATCAACAAACTTATTATCATTTTTCAAACATAGAACGACGCAATTAGATAATAAATTTTATACATTTTAAATGCAGTTTTAATAAAATGAATTATTAGATTTTTTGATTANGTTAACAGCGCCATCTGTACCTGTTTGTCGTTTTAGTTATCTAGATAGAAGGAAAAATATGTTTGTCCCAGTTAAAAAAAGGAAAACGTTAAAATGTTAATTAATGCATACTTTAATTAAAATAGATAAAATTGAAAATTAAAATAGATATGAATATTAAAGTGTGAAAAAGCGTATAGTTTTGAATAATAAATTAAGAAACAGATTTAGATAAAGGAATACGTTTTCGACGTTGACAATGCCATCTACTGACGAACTTTGTAACTAAATCTAAAATTTAGAGAGGATAATACTGTTGTTTCTGAAACAAAACACATCCTCTGTCATTCTTCAGATACTTTATATTGTAGTGGTTGGTTGTGTTCAGGAGATGAATAGATTGAGTTTACATTTTAATTAGTATTTATTTTACATTTAAGTACAAAAAGGGAAAATATGAAATTAGAGCAGCGCGTCATTCTACAATGGCGGTTAGGATTCTTCTGGTGAATGACAGAGACAGTTACTGATGGTAACTGTCGTGGCTACGATTAAGTTAAGTTCAGTCGCTGCAATATCATCAAACGTATTATCATTTTTCAAACATAGAACGACGCAATTAGATAATAAATTTTATACATTTTAAATGCAGTTTTAATAAAATGAATTATTAGATTTTTTGATTATTAATTAGATTAAATTTGTGGAGCTTCTTAAAATTTTTGAAGAAACTGTATTATTTAACCAACTACATTTGTTAGCATAGAAACTTAAGAGCTGATTAAATTATTTGCTAGTTCATGAGTTCCCGCATATCTAATTTGCGCGCTACATGATTCCTTCATAAAAGAATAAGCAAATTCACTTACACTCAGGATCACAGATACATTGAATTATTTACTTTGTTCCTAATTATTTTCTTAGTGATCCGATTCTGTCTTCCTTAGAACAAACATTTCATAAGAAAAAATCAGTTATGTTAATGTTTGTTACTGGAAAATGCGGTCCCGATAGTTTGGCCTATAAAGCGTTCGAAGTTAGGACGCCTTCATGTTGTTCTGACTTTCTGCATGTTTCTCAATGTATGAAATTAATATACCATAGCCTGGTTGGTAGGGCACTGGGCCCATGTCCAAGAGGTCGTGAGTTCGAAGCCCGCCGGCCGAAGACTCTCCGTGTAGTAAATGGTGACTGATGCACGTTAAATCTGTCTGAGTTGCAAAGTCCTCCATGTTACCATAACAAATCAATACCTCTGGGGGCACTGATCCAGGAGTTTCCTTGTCTTCTGAATTAGTTCAAAATTACAAGACTACGGAGTTGAACATTAGTAGTCGTAAGCCTAAAAAATTGGGTCGGCTGTTCAACGTCGGATATAAAACAAAATATAAGAAGTAATTTATACAAAGATAACTGCACGCATAAAATAATTTTTAATAATTATTTATTATTTTCTAATATTTCATTTATAATTCGAAAAGTTTTTGAATTCTAATATTTAAGATTAATGTAAGAAGAATGTAATTTTAAATGGCAAAATATAAAATTTGAAGGAAATCAGACGAATAGTTCTCTAGAAATCGCATTTAAACTACATGATTCTTTAGAAACCTGATAAATCAGAGAATATCCGACCGATAGCACTCAAATTTTGTATATAGCCGTACAAAATGTTTACCTTAAATTAAAATAAATTTTTTTCACTATTATCAAATTATTAAAAAAATATTAAATTCTAATTAAAAACAACATTAAATAATAATTAAAAATTATTTTTCGCATGGAATTATGTTTGGGAAAACGAATTTTATACGTGTATGGGAAAAGTTTTTGATTAGCTTTATAAGTCCTTGTAATATGGCGAAGTGCGCAAAAAATAAAACTAATTAAGCGGTACAAGCTTTCTACCGATCTCCTAACCAAACTATTAGAATTATTATTCAGATTTTGGCTACCACTCCCTTATTTTGAGGGTTAAGAGTCCGAACCCGTGTAAAGAAAAAGTATGTTTATTCATAGAAATTACGTTATTTTTTTCTTTCTTTTTTTTCAAAAAAAAAATTTTGCAACTAAAATATCGTTAGCTTTAGAGCTAATTAATTGACATATTTGAGGCCAGGCTTTCGAATCATGGAGATTTGACTCTCGAAAATCCGAATTTTTAGATCAGAAATTAATTATGTTTCTCCTTTTTTTTTTCCTTTCTTTTTTTTTTAAATTTTCGCACTGTATACCTAAAACTATAGAGCACGATATGTTTCGAACATGGAGCTCGCGAAGATTTACACCAATCAGATTCGAAAAGTTATTCTGGGGAATATATTTTTTATTTTTGTTTTCTGTTGCAAGAGATTTTTTTTACAAATTTCAAGTATTTTAACGTCATTGATTTCAAATCTTCAAACGGTTTTTCTTTCATAGCTACTTTTTTTCTTTCCAAACGATATTTTTAGTCAATTTTTGTCGAATTGTTAAAAACGGTAGAATAGATTAAAAACGTTAGATATAACAGAGGGTGGTACGATTCAATGGAAGTAAAGGCAAATGACCCTGAATAAAATTGCATAAGAACCCATATCGGGAAATGTCACCATATGCTGCTAGGGGAGCTTTCCTATTATGTAATGTTTTTTTTTTCTGTTTATCAACCGGTCATAGTAGGGGAGTGCGTCTTGCCACATACGATAACAATTTCGGCCAGGGATTCGTATGCCATTTTAATCCTGAATGATGTGGTCTAACCATCCTAGCAGTTTATTGCAACATTGATGCGAACCATTGATGCATTGATAATGTTTTTAAACTGGTATTATACGACGAAAAATAAATTGAAAATGTCATTTTTTTTAAAAAAAAATGTAGTTTTAAGAGCAAAACTAGTTTTAAATCCCCCACTGAAAAAAAATAATTAAAAAAAATAGTGCATAAGTTACAAAAAAATAACGATTACAGTTAATTCGTTACATGTAGCGCGACAATTCCGACCACTGAAATAATCTAAATTTTCACGAATATTTTGCGTTAAAAAATAGCGCATTGAAGTTGGTTTTGTAACAGTCTAGGCTTAACCTACATGTTCACGAATATTTTGTGTCGAAAAATATCGCTTTAAAGTTGGTTTTGTAACAGTTTAGGCTAACCTAGACTGTTACAAAACCAACATTAAACCGGTATTTTTCAACACAAAATATTCTCGAACATTTAGGTTTGGTTTAGGTTAGGTTGGTGTTATACCAACACAGCAAAATTAATTTTGCTATGTTGGTATAAACACCGCTCTAAAAATGTGTATAAAAAGCGGTCATTAGAAAACACATGACTTATTATGTGTGTGTTTGATTTCTTGTTGTGAATTCCTAAGCAATGAATTTCCTGTAGGATATAAATCCTGAAAAATTAATAATTCCTGAATGATGAACTATTATGTTTCTTAACAATGTATTTTATTAAACAAAAACTTATACAATGTTATAAATATACTGAAATAGAAATAATAATTCTTTTTCGTTCATTATAGGTTATAACGTCTTTCCTGATGACATATCGATTGTTTCTAAATCAAAGAAAAATGTAGGTATGTTTTTATTATGACTTAAGTTTTGATACTTCACTCCTAAATGTCTTCTTCGAAATTCAGTTTATTTCTCACTTTATGTTTAATTATTCTCTTATTTTTATTTATTTATTTAAATCTGAATGCACTGCATCCATTCCCAAATAAAAGGGAAATTGTAAATATACCTCATATTAAAAATTAAATTATAAATAACAGCACGAAAGCTTCGAAAATTCCATCTACAGTTTTCCATTCTTATTTTCCGTTCCCAACTTTTTCAATTGCCTCTATCAATCCTTCCAACCTTTATATAGTTCTTATATTGCTCACTAGAGGGCAGCAGAAACATAATTTTTTCTCTTTCTTGTTCATCGCAAGAGAGGCAGTGGTTGCAGACGAAAAGCGCCAAGTCTCAGTTCCTTATTTCAAACAAATCTTCGAATGAAACGAAACTCAGTTTCGAAAATCGAAACAGTGCGAGTTGTGATTTATCGTGCGTGAATCAATTTACAAAGTTTTTGCATATTTACATTTATTAACTGTGCTTTAGTGTTCCATACCGATTGGATTAAACTACTGGGATATACTTGGCCGATTAAATGGGGAAATAAAGGTAAACAAAACTTGTTTTTTATTCTTGCGCAAGTAGATTTCGCCGATATCGGTTTGAGGAAAGCCCGTCTTCTGACCGCACTTTGATCGGCTCACGGAATTTCACCTCTACCGTCAACTCAAAGGCATGTGTGATTGAAAAATAATCGGTTATCATTTAAAAATAAGTTTACTTTCGTTTACTCCCTTTTCTTTATTTAGTTAAATTGTTATTTTGTTTTGAATGCCAAATAAAAGGAAAAAAATGAATTATAAAATATAATTGATTTGTGAAAAACTAATAAATAATGTAATGTTTTTTTTTTTAAAAAACTAGCAAAGTAAAAGCCAATTTATAAAAATTGATCGGTATATATCAATCAAAAATATAAATATTAGTATAATATTAAGTTAAAATAATATAAGTTGGAATTTTTAGTTTTATCTTAAAAATTAAGATCAAGTAATAGTTATATTTTCTGCAATAAAGGCATACATTTTTTTGAATATATATGTATATGTGTGCATAACATATATACATGTGCATATATACATAACACATTTGCAAAAAACAGCACAGTTTTATTTTTTACTAAACCGAATTTTTAAGATAATTATTTAATATTAGATTTTAAGTTCAATTTTTTCAAAATATATTAAAATGTTTTGTAAATTTTTAAGTAAATAACTTTTTAACTTTTACACTTAATATCAAATGGTGCTTTTATTTATTTATTTGTTTTATTGCTAGATTTATTTGTGCCAAATTAGGATTTGAAAAAAAAAATCCGGGTAATTTAGGTTTTCAATTTAATCCTTTCAATCACTTTTGTTAATAAGAAAATTATCTAATATATTTAAAGTTTCTTCAGATTAATTAGAATACATTAATTAATTGAAATACATTAATAAATAACATTAAACTAATATTAATTCGACAAAAGTAACTGCTGTATAATTTTACTGTTGATGTAAATATAATGTGATTCCTAGTCTTTTTGCTAGATTTTTAACAATAAAATAGCTTGTATATATTATGCGTAGATTAGTTTTAATCCGTGTTCTAGTTTCAAGTAATAAATTGAATAAATAATCCTTGGAAACATAAATAAAAGAAATGTGGAAATAGTGCTGAAGCTCGTAAACTTTTATCAAAAAGAATTCGTTTGTCATTAAAAGTATTTTTTATCCATTTGAATTAAAAATAATACCATAAAATTATAAATATTTTTAATGACGTATTTTAGTTGTAAATTTTTCTAAAAACAATTTATCTACGTACTATACTAATCTGTTTTTATAATGAACATCAGAACTACTATTTATTAGTACATTCAATACAGAACTACGGTTTATTAAAATATGCTCATATTCTCGTTTTTATAGAATTAGATTTTTGCGTTTATAAAACACATTTATTATTACGAGTGATTTTTTTAAATATTTTTTTAAGGAAAGCTGATTAAATATCATAAATCGGTTTTTATGAGTGACGTAAAAACGATTACATGTAAAGAATTAATGTGAAAACGAAAGTTCAATTTTTTACTGTAATTTTCTGCAAAACTGAAGTATGTAACATCAGTAAACATACTTTGAATTTTAAAATAAAATTTTATCGCACGTATCATGTTTTATAAAAAAAAATTTAATTTTAGGAAATTTTAAAAAATTGCCAAATTTTTTTTGAAAAAAGTATTTGTATGAAATACTTAGCGCAATATAATAGTAAACCAAATTTTCAAATATTTCGGCAGAGTTTTTTTGCATCATGATATCCGTGTAGGCAACAAGATATATCTGTCCCTTCTGTTATATAGTGGAATTTTGTAAAACACCTATCAGGAAACTATACTAATAAACGATTTGTTGTATAATTGCTTCCTCTGTAAATGTGTAATTTAATGTCAAGCGTTTTAAGCATACGCATAGCATAGTAATAAACCATCATTATAATAAACATAGATATTTCAATATAAGGATTTATTTTAACCAGGGTTGTGTTTCTGCCGTCAAAAACTGGTTTTTGACATGACAGTGGTAAAAACCGTCAAAAACCTATTGTTTTCTATAATTTATGGCATATAGCGGACAATATATTAGTTTCACTTAATTGCCTTTATAAATGAATGTTGTAAATGATTGCTATTGATTTTGCAACTATATACATGTATTCTTATAGAAGGATATACATTCATACAGAAATATTGTAATATACTATTTGAAAATAGTGATACTTAACTTTTATCATTATAGCTTGATTTGCAAAGGATTAAAAATTTTGCACTTCTTAATTGTTAGAAATAAACAAACAATTCAAGAACTAAAAAGAAGAATTTAAAATTTGGCATTTCTTAAATATTGGAAATAAGCTAAACAAAACTTTCAAAACTTGTAACTACTAACAAACTCTAAGTCAGAAATGACAAGACATTCTTAAGTAATGTAATATGCCAAACAAAATGATGCTTAGAAATGTTGAAAATTTTGTTTAGAAATGTAATATTTTACTTCAAATAGTATGATTTGATATAATCATGTTGGGAAAATGCAAAAATAAGATCTTAAATATCTTTCCACAACTTTTTTTCTAATTTTATTGCCTAAAAATGAATTAATTTTAATTCATAAGCAGTTAAACTCAATTTAAAATACAGTTTTATCAAAACTATGGGTTTTTGACAGAGGGTTTTTTGACATGACGGTAAAAACCATGGTATAAACCGGTAAAAAACTTGCGAAAGTCAAAAACTTGCCAACCCTGATTCTAACAAATAAATGCTCAAATTATCAATATAACTGACTAAAACTGTTCACTAATTGGCCGATCCTGTTCCACATAATTAGTTACGGTAATAAATAGTGTAAAAAATCAAAAAGTTATCCTTTTATAAGTAATAAGTCGGAGGCGTTGTTGATGTAAGTCTCACTCTGTCTCTTGTAAAAAATGTTAAAAAAAAAGTTAAAAAAAAAACTTTGTTTTTACTTATGTTAAGCGATAGACAAAAGAAAGTAATTCATTTTTAAAAATTATTTCAAACTATTTACATAAGTTTGATGTCACAAGTTAAGACACATGAACACTGACTTGATAACTCGGATTCCCTAATTCAATCACTGGAATTAGTTCCCTGTTTGAAAAGTCACCCTTCACGAACTCTGTTTAAACACCGGTTCCACGATCCCGAACCATACAAATTATTAGTTTTTTATTATTGCCACTTCACCTTTAATCTTTACATAAGTCTAATAAACACTATTTTGATTTTTGTTGTTGTTTTATATACTTGAGACGCTGATATTTGGCTCTGTAAAGTCGCTTTTGTCTCTTGCGTCATTAAAATTTTCTTCCAATCAAATCTAATTGACATCAGCAGGGGTCTGTTTAGGAATTTGGGTCCGTTAACGGACCCTTCACAAAATATCTTTTCATAAAAACGGACCCTTCACAAAATGATTTTTCTTTTAATCGGACCCTTCACAAATTTGTTTATCTTCATTATTGTTTTGTTAATCGAATGAACCCTTCCCAGGGCAGAAAACAAGAAAAATGGATGTAAACGAATTGAGTTTTGTCTTCGGCAGACGCTTCTTTCATAATTCGTACGAAATGAATATTTTGCGTTCAGCAGTATAGGCTAAATACCAAATATTTGTAAGTTGCATCTCTAATTTAGAAGCAGCAATTGCTGTTTATTTTTGAAAATTTAATTTTTTTAATTATAATTTTACAGTCCCGAGCATAATCTTGTGTCTATTTACAATTTAAAAACTCCTTGAAAAAGTTTTTTGCAATTACCGAATTTGCACGAATTCGTAAAAGCGGACCCTGGTTGAAAGAATGTGAGTAAGTTTTTCACAATTTCACGAAAACCGGACATTTCACAAAATATCTGGACAGAACCCTGATTTCAGGCGATATGGGAAATTTGAATTCGCATTTGATCATTTACTTTTTAAGGCAATGATACTATCCATTTTTTTTAGCAGTTTTTGCTTTTGATTTCTACGTATCAAATCTTGAAACGAAACGTGCATTTGAGTAACCCTTTTCTGAAGAGTCCGATTCGCGAGATTGCGTCGTCGATCTGTTTTTCGATAATTACTGCTTCAGATTTCATAATATTTAATTATTTTTGTAATGTGATGATAATTTGCGAAATGCGATAAAGGAAATAATTAGTGCCCCCCCCAANCCCCCCCCCCCGGAGAAAAAAAAATGCTTGAATATCGCCCATAATATTAGAATAAAAAAATATTACATGATCAATTTTAAAAATGTATATATTGTTTTTTTTTTCTTCTTGTTTCTGTTAACTCAGCGTTTTTGTTACCTTAAATTAGAAATATACATTTTTGTTGTTATTGGAAGTATCTAGCAGAAAGATATTAGTGCTAGAGAGTTTTGGCGCAGAAAGTGCGAAAAAATTCTACAACAGAACTGGCCGTTTATTTTGGGTTGTAGTTCAACTGTTGAGGACCCTAATCCAAACTGTTAACTTAATTTGTGCTTTGCTTAATCAGCTAATGATCAATCACCGATGATAAAACGCTGAATCTCCAAACGCTAAACCTTGAACACCGAAAACAAAACGGAACTTTTAACTAAAACAAGTAAATCTGCAACAAACTAGATAATGTTACAGTATTTTTTTAACAACTTTTTTCTCTCTTTGCCTAGATTAGTAAAATAAGTATTGAAAGTGCTAAGAGAGTTGGAGAAAATATGAATGATATAGATTTTTTAGGCGATGAACTACTTTATTTGTATTTGTCTTTTAAACAGTTCCTTGGCGATTGTCCAATCTATCCATTTAGATAATTGCATAAAGTTTATTCTCTCTGATATAGAACTTTTTTTTCTCTTCTCTTTACTCTTTTGTAATGAAAACTATTGATTTTTGACTATAATTATGCAAACATTGGTCAAATTCTCAGGCTAAGGCTTTGATTGTGTCATGCAAGTGTTCTGAATTGGACATTGTTATTTTTTAAAATGTCACGGAGTCATATAATTCTTTT